TTCTCTTGCTGTCTCAGTGTTGTGCATTTATTTGCCTCATATAATTCTGATGTTGTTTGTTTTGACGTAACAGTTCTCGCTAATTAAGATGACCATATTGAAAATTGAAGAAAAACTTGGACACGATACCGGGCAATGTTCTTTCAGATAGTTCGTTTCTTGCTTGTTTCCCATGCTGGATCATTTAGTATTAAACATTTTCTCATCCCAATCCTGGGGAATTCCGTCATTTGTTACTGATATGACCATGAACTATCTATCAATCAGATTCAAACTGTTCCGTCCCGCGATAATGACTTGTAGTTATATTATACAACAAAGGTAAGCTAAAATAGGTTGCGCACACTATGGACCTGTCAGTCTGAACGCAGTGCGAGTTGTTCCTCATTTTAGTCACTAACATAAGCTGACCCATTCTCTTAGGCTTAACTAGGTAGGTATTTGGTTAACAGACAAAACCGGTGGTGAGCCGCAAACAGGATGACCATTACCTTCATTCGGGGCTGTGATATGGATGAAAAACGATGCTAAAATATGTTTCACCATAAATCGGAAAGAAATCACTCGATAAACACAACTTACAAATTTAGTTACAACCCTTTTTCCCATCCGTCAATTTCATCCTATTTTGTGCTACCAAAGCAATCTGGAGGGGACTGGGTGATCTTTCGAACGCAGCCAAAAACAGATTAATGAAAATGCATTTGTCATCCAGAAAACCTTTCTTTTGGAATCCTAATGGTCCCCCAGAATCAACATGGATTCTCCAGTGGTTCGTGGGTCGGACTCTTAGCCCCTTTTGGGTAGGTTTCAATCCCACTGAACTCGTTGAATATGCGCTGCTAATGATATCTGAAAATGCCGGAACAGTTGTGCGCTGCTTCAAAAGCATCTCATTGATGTATGGGAGGCTGACTTTGTATCACGAGGCTACAACCATAAACAAATACAATCTCCCGAACGGTTCCACATAAAAAACGGAATTGTTACACTATTGCTATACCGGTAACATGTGACCACCTGACTACCGTCGAGCCAACAGAGCAATGACTTAGGTATTCTGATAAACTTCACATCACATCACATGTTGCTCAAACCATTATCAACAAATATTTCGGTGACAAAACTTTGTTTTCATATTTTTATTGGGAATCAATCAACAATCCAGTTATCTTTACGTCCGAATTCACACATTTCCAGTTCCCATTCATCTCATGGCTATTTGTGAACAGTCGAGGGTCGAAGTGATTTTAATTTGGGCTGATCATCCTTTGCCCTCACTCAAAATCCACAGTTCATCTAGTCGACCCTTACGCTTGGGAAGCTCTAGATCAGTGTTTCGCTTTCATCAGCAGTGCATATTCACCGTCCCATCTGGGTACCGAAATCCGGACCTTTGCATGGAAGGTGTGTGTATTGCCACTATACCAAGCAGCTCATACCGCGGTTGATCGAAGTTGCCAATTTGTTTGTTTTGGCGTTGCCTTCAATGATAGTCTGTCACTTGATTTTAGGCCCAACAGCAACGAAGGGAAACGCGCATGAATTCCTGTTTGGTACAAATCGAAAGCCTATCGCTAAATTAGGTCTTACATCCAGGTTCGGGCTAAATTGTCGTAAACCTCCTAAAATGGTGTTTGGTTTACATTTACCTCAGAGTTACTTATGAGTAATAGTGTGGAATAACAGCTGAATTTAAGGCTGACTAGATGCACTGATAATTGTGAGTCAAGTCCATGTCTAAAGCAAGATCAACCGAAGCCAAGACACCAATTTTTTTTAATCGTGTTCTATTTAAAGCTTGCGTTAACTGAGGGGATAAGCTTGTCAAGCTGACACTTACCACCACTAATATATCACACCGAAAGGTTAATTCAGCTAAATATACGTATACATTGATCAACACTCACGATCGTAAGCACTGTGAAACAAAAGGGTTTCAAATGCTTTATTAAGATGCTAGTTGAATGCATGTAGTTATGGGAGTGCAATTACCATGGGGTAGAAAAGTCCATGTAACTTGTCCCCTAACTGCAAGACCGGCAGTCTAGTGAACTAGTTAAATCGTCAGCTTTGCTTAGATTTCGCGCGATACCGATATTTAAAAGTCAAATGAGTGGATGAATTGATGTAGTATTAGTTGTGAACAAAATAAAACTTTCTCAAATCCGATAGGTTGAACACCAACGTAAATAAAAACCTCTTAAATGAGCACCTATAAACAGGTTGCATAGATTTTATACATGGCATGTCCCGAATTGACGTCCGATGATAGAGTAACTCGCAGATACCAAACCCCGAATTCGCATCAGAACACAAGGCTGGGAAATCTACGTATACTACTGCATAATCAATCGTGAAATAATGGAAATACAACATACCTCATATTAGGGGCAACCCTTTCTGGACAAAATGATCGGTTCGACACGACAAGAGAAAACACTCGCTTGGAAATCGGAGGAGGAATGCGATGTGGATATAGCGACAGTGCTATTTAAAGGGCGGTGAGGGCCAATCACAGGGATGGGATAGCGAAGTGACACCAAAATCGGGGGAGGGGGGCGACGGGTGGCAACCGTAATTATGGTGTAATTGAGAGAATAGACAGCGGACACGAGGAGGATGTCTGGGGTGGTTAAACACACAAGGTGGGCGGCAGCATACGTTAAGAAACAACTGATTGCGAGAAGGAATGAACAATGACAACTGTAAAGACGGTAGGCTAATCATAGCAGGTGGGTGATGAACAGGTGACCACAATAACACGAGGCAGTTTCTATGCCTGGTCGAGATAACTGGTAACAATAATGGATCGAGCGCAGAACGAGTGATGACAGTTCCATGTGGGGTGGCGATAATAGATGGACGAAGAACGGATCACAACAATTAACACGAAGTTGCTATGTGGGGCGGAAAAGTGCGAACTGAATGGTAATGGAGGGGGGGGGGGTGTAGCAAGTTCCGATCCGGCGGGCAAAGGTCATCAAACTGGGAGTTAGTTAAGACCAAACCTGAATTGTTGGGCTTTTAACAGAGTACAGGCAGGTGCAGTGTACGTGATTTCATCTTACATCTTACATAACACTTCGTCCACTTTACTGTTGTTTTACAGAAAGTGTGAAGCTCTAATGCAGGTCACTGAACCTCCAATTTATTTGGGCTTTGATGTATTCGAAGAATTATAAACAAAGAAATGATTTTGTTATTCAAATCAGACCGAAGCATTCATTAATTTGGACCTTTGTTCATACTCTAAAGAAATATTTTGAACTCACAAGCATGCTACTGAAAGGAAACTATACTCTCTACATTGACTGAAATCAACAATTCCCTGGTTTAATTTATGTAATTATTGCTATCGGTGGTAATTGGGTTCAACGATATGATTAAATCAACCGTTGGCCAGTTCTGAAAGACTGACTACGCTAATACGGGGCATCCTGAAATATTACAATCCCATACCAAAATGCTCCTTCATTGGCAGTAATCGAGTGCGTCGGGTAGAACCATAGCCTCACATAAACTGGCGGATGTGAAAACTCGGTTCTCGTCCACGGTAAATGTGGGCAGAAATCGAGGTACGAATCTAATTGCGGCAGGTTCGTTAACCGGACCGAGGTGTGAGGGTGAAACTTCAAAGCGTATTTTTCACTTTTTCAGGAGGAAGCAGTTAGCGGTGTGCAATCGATCTCGCGTTCAAATGACCTAGTGCATTACCCTCATCACCACCCCCGTGCATGTACACACAGTCCTGCCAACCTCCGTTCTGTGGGTCCGACATAATGTGAACAACATTAACCGTGAGCAATTTCGAAATTCTATGCTATTTTTCTGTGCACTTACTTGAAATGAATTCACGTTAGTTGAGAGCTGTTGCTAGGTTAGCCCACCCGGGTGATCAAATTATGCAGCCTGATGATTGCCCGGTGGTTGCACTTATGGATTTTCTGTGATTCGCTATCCGAGACGACGACAATGAGACAGATCACACTGAACGTGGTCCGTGTATTTTGCATCTTGTAATATGGGTTTTTGCAATCAACTCGCGCAATACAGGCGTGTAAGCATATGCTGGTCACACCTGTAGAGGTAGAAAGTTGATCGTATTAGGCTTGCTTCACGTCTAGATGAATTTCGACGAACCAGTGAATGAACAGTCGACAGGGTGATCACTCTGAATGTCACGTCCGGTCTCATGACGAAAGTGAATCCTAGCAACCGGTGAT